GTACCTGCATTATAATTTCTAATATATATATAAATATATTGCATCTATATTATTATCATGCATGGTACAAGTAGATTTATATACTATAAAATCGCTGAAATCCTAATAACATATGTCCATAATATATAGTGCACAGTCGTCGTGGTCCTCGTTCCCCTACCTTTCACGCTACACAGACTTAATCCCATGCGGTAAATCCTCCGCTGCCGTGGAGCGCGCAACCAACGATTTTTTTTTCTGCTCCCGGTTAATAATAATTTGTATACGTGGGCCCGAGCTTTAATCGTTCACTGCTGCTGTCACCGAATGGTTATAGTCGGTTACGTTAGGTAAACCGGACGTACAATAGAGGAACCACGCCGTTTGTACGGTACATTATATTATCATAATACATTTTACGGTATCGTCTATAATGTGTACACAATAATATATACCTAGCTGTGTCGTCCGTTTCGATTTTGCCCTTCCCCCTGCCCTTCTGGTTTTACGACTTTCGTGACAGGCTCTCCGCGAGATTACGAATTTATATTATTTATAGTATATTTTGTTTTTTATGAGGTACTTATTTTTTTTTTTTTTTGCGTGCGAGTATGGGTGGGTGAAATCGACCGGACTTTTCACCGCTCAATAATCATATTATACCTATACCTAATATTATCAAAACTACAATATTATTACTCATTTATGGCGAAATCGAACCGTTAATTTAAGGGCTGTGTGTTCACAGTTTCACACTGTATGTCTGTATACATAGCCAATCTATCAACGTAATGATATACAAAACTTTAAAATGTATAATAGCGACTTATAAAAATAACCTTATTATAAGTTAAATCGTATGTCTTTAAATATTTATTAGACCAAGTCGTTATTTTAAAATGTGAAAGCAGGTAAAATTGGCTTTCGGAAACAACATATCTATTTTATTTTGGCTCAAATAAACTGTACCCAAAACGGCCGAAACTAATTAATATTTTTTGACGTGAATGGGTAATTACCCTGTATACGATATATCATATAAACCGACTGACGATTACAGCGAACTATAATATTAGTAATATATATAATATATAATATAATTATGTATTATTTATGTAACACAAGTATAGCAAAACGATTTTTAGTTAGATTCTCGGAATTAATTTATTAACATAAGCAATTATAGGGATTTGAATTGTTATTAAATTTTTTTGTCATATACGTTTAACGTGTGTTACATGAAGATAGATTAGATAAAATTAGGGTTCACCCGTTAATGCTCATAGTTGCAGTGGTTAAAGAACACGTTTATAATAAAGTATTCTTGAGAAAGATCTTTTGGAGAATCGAAGTGTATACATAACGTAAATATTAGACAGGTAGACAACGAACGTTTATTATTATTTTTCCAATTTCAATATTTCACAATATAATTTCATTACAAATGATCGACTGACATGTTATAGAAAGTATAAAATCCCCAATGTATCACATGGAGATAGGATATATAAAACGGAAATTCTTATACGGGGCAAGCCTTTGAAACCAGTATAGTTTCCTGTTCTTTGTATACAGTAACAGTATATATCATTATTATGAAAATAATAATAATAATAATAATAAAGAATTAAACCGAAAATGATACAATCGTTCGTTTTTATTCTTCGTGTCTTTTTTCACAACAATCTGCCAGACAACACCTCGGTCGTCAGTGTTACAGTATGGGGCGGTGACACGACTATATTTGCATAACGGTTATATTTGTCAAGAGTTCTCATTAATGAAAAAAAAAATACGTATTTATTTACATACCTACAAATTGTCTCTCGACCTTCTCAATATCACTCAACTTATATATTATAAATGACACACCACACACGAGATTTCACCCCTATAAGATTCATTTAACAGTATTCAACATCATGAGATAATATGGGCGGTTCCAGTAGTAGGTACGATAGTAATAATAATAGTTATAATATGTTTTACGCAAATAAGACAATGTAAGAATAATTCTTTTATGGAGGATATAGTTATTGTAATAATTTCATTAAGGACGAAGACCGACAAAAGAAGAGAGAAGCAAGCGCTTCAGGTTTTTTATTTTTATTTTTATAATCCATGGGGGACTTGATGTGATTTTAATACTATGAGAAAATGGATTATGAAAAATTTAAAACACCGGAGGACAAAAAAGTTATTATAAAAATTATATTTTATAGCTGATACGAAGGAAAATGTATTAAATACTAATGAAAAGTTGCCCTGTTTTATGGTAATTAGTGATACAAACATAAATGTTTTCAAATAACTTTCAACGTATTATTTTCTCACTTAGGTGTTTAAACATTTATAAAATGAACTTTTAATATCATAATCAACAACTTCTATAGTAGCTTACGCGCTTATTTTTTTAATAACTTAAGTAGCCAAATCCATGGTAGGTAATTAATTTAATTCATCTTGATATCGAATAATTAAGATAAAAGTAACAGAATAAATAAATATTAATGAGTAAACTATCTTTTTGTATTTTTAAGGGATTACGTACCTACCAATTATTTTTTTTATTCTTTATATTTCATAGAAAAAATTTAGAGTGTCATTGTAAAATTATTTTGTAAATAGAAGAATTTAATTCGATGGAAAGTCGTATATTTCAGCAGGAGCAAATGTTAGTGGTTCCTGTGGCTGTCGAGACCTGTGGGCTGTGAGAAATATTCGATCGTTTATAAAACAGTCGGATACAGTATTCCTACTTTTAGGGAAAACATTTGTATTATCAACAGTTTCTAGCCATTATTTTTGTGGTGAAGTTCGTCTTTTTTGAGATTCAATTACGTGCAGTAGATTGTTTATTCTGAATGTAATGTTAGTTTAATAAATTTCAAAAAGTCACGTGATAGCCAAGTAATACAATTAAAAATGTCGACATAATATATTATAAAATAGTAAATACAGTATAAAATGTACAGTAGGCGAATGTATATTTTTAAAATTTCACATTTCTAAAATGGTAGCATTTTAATATTTATTGTTTGTTACAATTTAATAAAAAAAAAAATATACCTACCATTCATTATTATTATAGAAATAAAATTATTCTGGATAACAATATTAAATATCATATAAATATACATACATACACTAAAACCTAAACGGTATAATTTTAAAATGAATGTTTAATGTATAGGTACTTACAAATTACAAAGCATATACCTATATGTTTTATTTAGTTTAAAAACTTTTTTGAATTCTCGGAAATGTAATTTTCGTTAATATTTTATTAGTATTATACAATGAATCATAGAGAACTATTTCTTGACATTTTTGAATTGTTTGCTTAAAAAGTATTCTGAATGGTGCAGTACACAAATTAATTTTTGAGTGCGGCCAAGCATATTGTTAAAAACTAAAATCGTAAAGCGTAGTTTTGTTGCGAAAACAAAGTAAAAACGTATAATCATAAATCATGGGTTATAAATACTAGCATTAGTATAGTCTTTTGATCATAGTTAAACAAAAAAGGAACATAAATTGTAAACATCTCTATATTATGGGTCTTTAGTAAACAGCATTAAATATTGTGAGTATATGTATATACTATATATTATAATTATTATTATATAAGTTACTGTTAATGCTTATAATATAATCCTTACATAATATTATAAAGTTATCGAGTAGCTAGTAATCAATATATATTATATTATAACGTAAAACATTGATGTATGCAGTGGTGTAGGTATTTTACATGTTACTATTATTTATAATAATATTATATTGTTAAATTATTGTCTTATAAGCCGATTTTATAATACTCGTGATTATGAAAAACGTAAGCGTATAAATATGTCACTCGTCGTACCCATAATTGAATATTATTCAAAAGTGCACTTTTGTACTGTTGACCAGTGAGATTTTTAAGTTTTAGTGACAGTAACGTAAGTAGGTATATGCGTTTATTGTTATAAGTGAGGTATATATTTTTGATTTTTCGAATTAAATAGGCCAAAATAAAAATAACACTAATTTTCCTTGTATATAGGTACCTATGTAACATACACATTGTTGTCTGTTTAATATTCGCTCAAGTTAATAGTAACTACATAATACAAGGACCACGGGCTTCTTAACCATCTCACTGTGGTGTCCAGCAGTAATACACCTAATGTTAAAAATTTATTTTTCCAATAAATCATAAAATTAAGAGAAGGGGAGCTAATTTATTGAGGTACTATACGTATACGTCATCGATTGCGTAAATGCTATAACGTTGATTTAATAGCATTTAACGTTCTTATCCAAAACACAATAATAACTCATTTAAATACGTATATATATTTTTATAGTAAATGCCAATAAAATGCTTTATTATATGTTTCTGAATGAGATTTTTTTTTTAAATTGTCCTTTAACCTCATAAATCTAAGTGTTAGCATTTTATATTTATCCAGTAATCTCCCTTGATTTATGTACAACAGAAAGGTTCTATAAATTAGTATACACTTCTATTAAGCAAACGGCCAAACATTATTCGAGCGTTTACTTTGCTTTTATTTTACAACGTGTTTTATTTTTCATTAAGTATTTAACATTTAAATTCCACTATTCCGATAAAATTGCTACCTACCTAGAGTCAACCTAACCCGCTTATGACTAGTCAGTCGTTTGGGTAATTCAGAGGTTTTTATATAATTTCTTGCAATGGAAACAACTTCAGGATTTACCGTTAAAAAAAAAATGTTAAAAAATGCATAGTTTGGTTAAAATGATATTACATAATATTAGGGATATAATTTTTTTTAACCATCAAGTAATATTTGTGTTAAGCTCGGATGATATAATAATAACTTATCTTGTCGTCGGGACCTCTGTACGTTATGTAGTTTTCGTAAACAAAAATCATATTATTTACTTATGCATATTGTGTTGTTTATGTATTCTTACAATCGTAACAATTAAAGCAGTTTTTATTATTTTCGTTTTGTATTATCAAAAGTACCTATACAGTCTTCGAAATGTGCAACTCGATTAAAACTCTGTGGAGAAATATCAAATGCGGACATTTATTCGGACATTACAGACGGTCGCCTGAGCTGGTCAAAGAGCAGTGGCCCATACGCGTGACCGTAATCGAAGGCGGAGACACTGGAACGGCGATGTTCGCGGCCGTTAGAAAAATCTTCAAAGCGGCCCACGTGCCTGTGGAATGGGACCATCAAACGCTGAGCGTGTACCGCGACCACAACCGGTTGACCGTCAATCCGAAATTGCTGAATTCTGCGATCGAAACGGGACTTGTACTTGCGTCAAGGACCACTACGAAACTACTCGTTGGAGTCGTTGGCGCTCCACAACGCACTCAACGCGTTCGTCGACGTGTGCAAGTTCAACGTGTGTCGTCTGACACGAGCCGTACGGTCCCGTCAACATGATAAGCATTCGCGACAACGTGAGCGGCGAATACTCTGAAATCGAGCACCTCTACAGTCCCGGTAATGATCGTTATACAAATAAATTATATTTATTCCGTCGTCGATCGTCGTCGAGTAATTCGGTACCTATACTTACCTCTCGAGTCTCGACCAGTCTATCTCCTCTGGTCAATTACTAGGTAGGTCTAAGGTACCAGCCACTATAGGTACATTATTATTAGCTAATACATAATATACTGACACTGTCCTCCGTGGTTGTAAATTATTATAAAATATGATACTCCAGTCTCCAACCCTGCGACTGCAGCTCCCCCCGCCACAAACAAACATCGCCGTCGACCGGTTAAGCTAGCTTTGTCAAAATATCTGAATTTCATATAATTTATGAAGCCGGATAATCATCAGGATTTTCGGATTTATATTTTTAAACAGAGTACACGTACGTGTTTAAATTATAACAAATATTTTATTATTTGATACAGATATTAGGTATATGTTACAAATGTTTCTCGTACCATCGTCCATCCTAATGATATTATGTATAATTTGTATAATAGGTATGTATATTATATTACATTTCCTATAATATATTATTATTTAGCGTTAGTGAACGGTGAAAATGGTACGAAATATGCGACAGTAAATGATTAGACTTATTCTTGTAATCACGGTACGTTATGTTCGGTAACCCTCCGACTAAAAGATACTCGTGTAAGCGTGAAGGGTCCTCAGAGACACGCAAAACAGTTAGTTTCCGGTTAGGGGGGCGGGTGTTCACATCAATGAAAACCTACGCGGGGTAGTAGTACTCATAAATATATAATATTTTATAAAGTACAATATAGTTGGGTTCGCCGGTGTACAATGTGTAAATAAGGGGCGCGACGAAATAGTAACGAACGACCGCGGTGGTGCGGTTCGGCGAGACGCGTTATACAACGATGATAAATATTATATACATAATGTTATTATATTATATAGCATTATATTATGAAAAAATGACAACGATGCATGGTCTCATCAGTCATTCGTTGCTTGATATGTATGTAGAGATAAATTTATTATATTCAATATATTGATTATGACCGTTCACCAAGTGTATAATATTATAATGCACTAACGATTGTAACGATACACGGTAACTTAATTATAAACACGCAGGCATCGTGCAGTCCATCAAGACGGTGTCGAGGAAAGCCTCAGTGGAAGTGGCCAAGGTGGCGTTCGACTACGCTTGCAAGCACGGCCACTCCCGAATCACTGTACTTCACAAGGCAAACGTGATGCAGCTGTCAGACGGGATCAGTTCGTGAAGGCCTGCCGAGAGGTGAGCGCCTGCTACCCGGATGTGGAATACAACGAGGAGAAGCTTGACTCGTTCTGCCTTAACGTGACCACTAACCCTGACCGGTACGACGTGCTCCTCTCGACCAGCTTGTACAGAGCTTTAGCCGGCTCTGTGTGTGGCTATGGTGCCTACAGCTGCGTACGGGCCAAAGGCGTGTGTGTTCAGCACCATGAGTGCCTACGGTTATAGCACCTACGGTCATAGCGACGGCAGTGGGGTTTACAAAAAAAGGGTTTGTGGCCACGAACCGGTCATAAACCCGACGGGCATCATTAGAGCGGCCGCATGGATGTTGGACAAAGCTGGCATGGTGGTCGCTGGACGCCGCATTGCTACGGCCGTGGAAGAGCCCTTACGGCTTGGCATTCGTACCAAGGATATGGGTGGTGATGCGACCTGCTCGCAATTGACCGACGCCATTATCAAGAAAGTGAAGGACTAGATGCCCAGTATAAATATACTAATAAAATAGTAGATAATTCGGGAAGGTTGACATCTGTCAATTACGAGCAACAACCTGCATTCTACCAGTTATTTACCTCAATATTTGTAATAAACATGGGTTCATTTAATAATATAGGTATTCAAATATACAATATAATGTATTATTAACTATGATTTATGATGAACTAATTATACAAAATATAAAATATGATTCAGGAGCGACTAAGCATAACTTATAATGTCTTAAAATTTACAAAATAGTAGATAATTATATGGTAGGTACATGCCAACTGCCTAAGTAATACGGTGTTATACTCTGTCACACTGCTAGATCGAAATATTATAGGTTTACAACTTTTATATGCTGGTGCGTTTAAGTATAATGAGGGAAATGTCATGTAGGTACCTAATAATTTTTGTTCTAATCAGGTCCTAGCAATTTATCCAAAAATGTTGTGTTTATCTTGTAATATCGGTTGGTACAGACAGATCTTGTATTATAAACCGACGTATATAATATGCGTACTATAGGTAAAAATCACCTATTGTTTTATAATTTTATTTTTATGTGTATTGGATAATGAAAATACTATTGATTAATTATTATTATTTACTCTCTAGCCACTTGTGTCACGAACTACAATCAATATCGTTGTGGATTCTATTGATGTTCTTGCTATTTGGTCAAGCAGCCTAGAGAAGTAGTTTGTTTAAAGTCAGAAGTGGTTAACTTATTAGCACCGCCAAAATAATTTATAAATACACATTGTTAAATGTTAGGTTTATATAAAAGACACCCCTCTTTACGGTACTATTGTCTATTTGGCATTTGCTTTGTCAAACCTCAAATTTTCCGACAACTAGTTTAGACATAGGTCATTAAAAATCATAGTATATCACTACTATAAGTATATTATTATAAACTTTTAACTGACATAAATTTAATCCACAAAAAAAATCTCATTTCAACACTACTGTTATACTGATTTAGCACTCATTACAGCCACTCGAGTCCAGTTTCTTGAATATGGGTCACCACCCTTGTCCTGAGTACGAATGCCAAGCCGCATGGTGTCTTCCATGGCCTCAGAAATGCGGGGCCCGCGACCACCATCTAGAGTGATCCAACATCCACGAGGCTGCTCTAAATCTCGGGTTTATGAACTTTTCGTCCCCCCAAACCATTTTGAGGAAAACACCATTTTGTGTACACCACGGTTATAGCACCTACGGTTATAGCGATGGCAGCGAGGGTTTCCAAAAAATGGTTTGAGGCTACGAAAAGGTCATAAGCCCGACGGGCATTATTAGAGCAGCTGCTTGGATGTTGGATCACGCTGGCATGGTGGTCGCTGCGGGCACCGCATTTCCGAGGCCCTGGAAGACACCACGAGGCTTGGCATTCGTACTGAGGACATGGGTGGTGAAGCGTCCTGCGTCGAATTTACCAATACCATATTCAAGAAACTGGATTCGAGTGGCTGTAATGAGTGCTAAATCTAATAATCTATAGCTTTGATTTTATATTTATAACAGTAGTGTTGAAATTAAATTTTTTTTGTGGTTTAAATTCATGTCAGTTAAAAGTTTATAATAATATACTATGATTTTTAATGACTTATGTCTAAACTAGTTGTCGGAAAATTTAAGGTTTGACAAAGCAAATGCCAAACAGACAATAGGACCGTAAAGAGGTGTGTATTTTATATAAACCTAACATTTAACAATGTGTATTTATCAATTATTTTGGCGGTGCTAATAAGTTAACCACTTCTGACTTTAAACAAACTACTTCTCTAGGCTGCTTGACCAAATAGCAGAACTTACAGAACGACCCTAAAATCCACAACGATATTGATTGTAAGTCATGACGCAAGTGGCTAGAGAGCAAATAATAACTAATCAATAGTATTTTCATTACCCTATGGCCTATACACATAAAAATAAAATTATAAAACAACAGGTGGTTTTTACCTATAGTATGCATATTATATACGTCGGTTTATAATACAAGATCTGTCTGTACTCTGTACCAACCGATATTACAAGATAAACACAACATTTTTGGATAAATTGCTGGGACCTGATTAGAACAAATATTATTAGGTGCTTACATGACATTTCCCTCATTATACTTAAACACACTAACATATAAAAGTTGTAAACCTGTAATATTTCGATCTATCAGTGTGACAGCGTATAACACCGTATTGCTTAGGCAGTTGGCATGCACCTACCAGAATTATCTACTATTTTGTCAATTTTAAGACATTATAAGTTATGCTTGGTCGCTCCTGAATCATATTTTATACTTTGTATAGTTAGTTCATCATAAATCATAGTTAATAATACATTATATTGTATATTTGAATACCTATATTATTAAATGTACCTATGGTTATTACAAATATTGAGGTATATAACTGGTAGAATGCAGGTTGTTGATACAATAAATAATAATACATAATATAATTTAATAAATACGTACAAAATATTTTGTTTAATTATTAATATACCATTTATTAAATGCAGCGTGCGTTATGCGGGTCTTTCGGGATGCGTGCATAATATGTGACAGACGACAGTCACACTTTCGCAAAAAATAACAATAATAACTACTATTGTTATAATTATTATATTACCTAAAAAACATTTGATGTTTGTCAAAATACCAAAAACGTTCGGACCGGCTGTGTCGCGAATCAAAATACAAATTATACAGTGACTTGCCCTTTGCAGTACTGCCCATTACAATTTACAGCAAATTATTATTTCTAAACAACGGTAGTTGAGATGTCAGCTGTTCCTACACTAAGAATGTGTGTATTATATATATAGGGGACTGTGCATCCTACTTTGACATATTGTAACGTACATATCTAATTCTCTAAAAACAGGAGTCAATATATGTCGGAATTAGTATTTTATATTAGTATTTTACATCAATGAATAATGCTATTTGATAACAAAATAATTAAGTGATTTAATTAAATATTATAAATTAAAAGCATACTGAAAAAAATAATTTTTATATAATATGTCGGTGGTCCAACCTGGTTGCATTTTTTCAATATGATTATTTCTGACTGGTCCAAATGTACCTTGCCCGTTATATGCAATAATGCCTATCGGCAACTGACTAATAACAATGGTTAGGTATATCTATTCACTCGCGGCATAATATAATTTCACATTTTAGTATATTATCGTAAATAGGGGGATTTTTTTTTAAATCAGTTCATAAACGTTTCTGCACCACATCCCCACCAAAAAAAAAAAAAAAAAAATCAACTCAACTACCAAACAGAAGCTGATTTATATACACAAATAAAAACACCCTCCCCCTACACGATACCTAACCAAAAACGTTATTAATATATTTATTATATATTACATCAGGCGATGGCAGGACGGGCTTTTATATATTATACGTTCTTATATAATAGGTTAATAGGTGCATCACATGCATGTATTAAACGTTTATGCTATTTGCTTATATTATATTATATTGTTATGTTATATATATATATTTGATATGTATGTTTATCCCTCTTCCTTCCGATGTATAATATTATGTGAAGATGATAACAATAATAATCTAACCGTATACATCTATATGATACCGACTAATGGACCAAATATTATTGTTTTTTATATTGCATGGTAGTTTTTATATACAAATATTATATACCTACTATAATACTATATGCCCATATTATATAATATTCTAGGGTTCGCGTGTTTTCCGCCCACAACCGTGAACCGTGTAATGGAGCTCTTTTTTTATTTTTTTTTATCTTTTCGAGCGACGACAGACGCGTATGCTTGCAATGCTAATATAGAGGGTCGGCAAGCGAGTGAAGGGATAATGACGCCGCTGTGGCTTTACTAAAAAATTAAAAAGAAAAAGAAAATAAAGACGAAGAATCCATAAAAAAAACAAAAATGTTCACCCACTCCGAGATTCCCAAACAGATAACACTTTAAAAAAAATATATTAACATTCATATTGCTCACTATACTTGCACCTACAACTAAATACAATAATATATACTGTATAATAATCTATACTGTTTTATTACAATTTTAAATTTAGAGTTAAAACTCTTATTTAGACTCATTTCTTGATAAAATATAACCATTATAGATTTAATATTCACAATTATAATATATACAATAAATTGTATTACAGTTTACGCCCAAGATTAAACCGGGTTCACATTTGTGTATAATAATGTATACGTCAGTAATGTCAGTTAATTTATTTTGATGACGATTTCCTTAGTTTACTGTGATTCAGTGATTGGCCTCGAGCACTAAATATTTAATTACTGGTATTGTATAAAATATTATTAAGCATTGAAATACACTTTGTGCCAAACGAGACGATGGAATGATTTTCATTATACGTCTACTATTATAAGACGCTAGAAACAAAAAAATCACTCGTTATGAACACTCTAACACCCAGTTGTTATACTATAAATAATTTAATATAATTTTTATATCCCAAATAAGTTATGAGTTTAATATTAAATAAATATATAAGTTATAACCAATTATTTATGTTGCCTCAAAAATGTATTATTATTTTTTAAATTTATTCATTACTCGCTAAAAGGGGTTATCACGCATAAACAACACTTATTAAAATACTAGCTTTTATATGTATAGTAGATAATTATATTAAATATATTATAATAATACTAGGTTTAAATGGTTTAGCTATGATATGTATTAAAACTATGACGTATACTGTGATAATATAACATAATTATTATAACCGACTGAGGGTATAGGCCAAAAATTATGATTTAGTATACAGTTTTTACCTGGACAACGAATTTGGCGACGGACTGACACTGTTTGGCCCAGTATGTAAATGGTGTTTTGTACGATTACAAGCGGTGAATATAGAACTTAGGTTGTACCTAAAACTTTATCGTGTGGGTGTGCGGGTGTGTGGGTGTGATGTGAGATAATGTGTACTGTGTAGTTGCTAATTATTCTAGAGGTGAGTATATTTTGTTTTCATTTCGTAACTAGAACGTGCGTCGGTTTTGTCCAGCTGGGCGAAACACATTTTTATGCATTCCGCGCCTTTATTCGATTTCTCTGCAGCCCCACCCTCCTCCGACCTATACTGTTCTCGCTCATAGCCATAATAATATATTTGATTGTTGACGTCGACCATTTGTGCTACGATCTAATATTATTTTGCAATTAGATTTACCATTATTCTGTACTGGTAATAAATTACGTATCTATTCGTGTATTATATTATATAATATTGTAACGAACGACTCCATCTCAGCGACAATGATGATGATGATAATGATAATGATGATAATAATAATAATAATAACAACATATTAATAGGTTATAGATTTTCGGTTGTAGTTATATCATTACGATTTTAGTATAATCAACTCGTCTACGGAATTCAAATAAAATTCACATATTTCCTTTAATGAAACGGATGGAAACTGTAACTTTAAGATCCCATCTTTCGCTCAAATATCCTAATCAAAATCGTTATTGAAGGCTTCAAACTTTCCGGCTTTGTTAGGCATCTAGGGTCATTCAGGCGTGCGTCTACCGCGTGTGACAATATGTTCATATTATTTTGCTTTTGCAGGAATCTGGAATTCGTGTCAATTATATTTGTTTTCGACCAAACGTTTCTCGTCCAATTCAATTACAACAGCTGATGCTCTCTAACACATTGAATCTAGCTCCATTGATGTTCGTTTTCCGGCCACAGACAGTCATATCCATCTGATCGGCACACATTTTCAATGTTATAAATTCAGAAAACAAAACTCCGTTAATGTACAAATGTACTAATATAATAGTAAAACAATGTTTGCACATTTTTAGTTTTTACTTTTAACGAGTCTCAAAATTATAATATATTATATCAGCATCATAATATTATACGACCACCTATAATAGTATATTATATGCACAAGTACTTGTGGGCTGTGGCCTATACTGGTATTATAATATGTATAGTAATATACGTAAGACGGAATATTTAAACATTAAAAATGGTTCTTATAACATATAAATATTAAACATATTATAAATTATATTAGAACAAAACGCATGAGTTTAATTTCCTGCGCTAATAAAATCACGGTCTTCTTTGAAGTTAAAATATGCTGTTAACGACGGTACTCTGAAGCATTACGCCAAGTTGAACTCGGAACTTCAAAGTATTTAAGTGTCATTAACAAAAACAACATTAATAATGCTTAATTACCTAACTCTAAAGGTTATTAAAACAATAATATAATTATTACTGTTTTTCTGTAGGATGTAGAAACTAGGAACCAGGAAGTGACTGAGCTAGAATAATTCTGATTTAAATACTCATTTATTTATCGATTTGAAAAATTATATTATTTAACTATATAAATAGGTATAGGTAGTAGGTACCTAAAAGTAACACCCTGCACTCATTTATTATAGAAGAAACAAGATATTATAAAACTACACAGTAAATAATTTGTATAAGTAGGTACCTATAGGTACTGTAGAAAAAAATGATTTGTGTGAATATAGTGAAATTATTATATTTTCATTGTTATATAAAGTCGACTAGTCTTTTGTACGAAACAATTAAATTAGTTATATACATAATTAACTATTATATAATACCTATATTATTATGGTAATAAATGATATAGTAATTTAGTAACTGTTCATTATTCCACTAATGGTAGGTAGGTTCTTTTCTGATAATTATGTATTTAAGATGTTGGAATACTTATATTGTATAACTATATTATAACACTTGATATACAACTTTTCTTATACCTAGGCCTCCTAGGTAATGTAAAAAATCTTCTGGACACTACTAATAGTTATACCACTTATACTATCTGCGCAAAGTAGTGGGGTAGTTTTCACATATTTATGTATACAACTCCTGCCAAAATCCTGTAATATTCATGTGCAATTATGAATCCTTGAAGTATAATATTATAATATTTGTGTTATTTCGTGTAGTGTATAATTCAAATTTCAAACTGTTCAGACGAAAAGAAAATAATTTGTCGAGCGTATTCAAATTGAAACTTCCATCTGCATTATAATTTATATGTACCTGTAAGTTGTAACATTCCTGTATAACGAAATACGTTTTATTATACTTTATATAAATTATTATTTTGATTCTGTACGTAATTTCCTTGTATAATATTATAAAAGTTTCTTTTTATTAAATATGTATATTTTTCGTTCCGATAATAGATTATCATATTTTATACTCTACAAACATAATAATGTTGGTTAATGAAAAATATAAATAGGTTGAAAATATAAATATCTTTGTTCATATTACACTAGTATAGTTATACCAACTCGCATCAGCTGCTTTGAGCAATATAATTATAATTACCGTCTAAATAATCAAAATAAACAATCATACTATATCGTCGTCATATAAATCATATTCAACAAGAAAGTATAACAAAACCCGACATACATCAAAAACAAATACAAACAATTTTACTGAAAATTTAGTGCTTTTATTCAAAAATTTTACGAATATAAATAACGAGATGGATTTGGACAAGTGCAAGTATAACGGTGCAGACAGTCGGTGCATCGACCAGATAACCAGCTTGCTGTACAAGATAAAGGACCCGGTGCATTTGTCCAACGTACACGATTGGGTGATGAAATTGACGACGGGTGAGCCGAGCAACTCCAAGACAGACTATTTGAGATTGCTCGAGTATGCGTTGAAAAGTGACGACGGCAAAGGCCTCCGAGAACCGTTCACCAGCCCTCCGCTGGACAGACTGCTGGCCGACCCGAAGAGCACGTCGTCTCTGGTCGACTCAGTGGCCGCGTGTGTCGGAGGTGACAAGTGGAGGACCTCGGCCGGCGGTGGTTGCTGTGACGTTGACACGTCAACGGTAAATCTATCGACGACGGCTGCAGAGGAACCGCCCGCTGCCTCCGCCGCCTTGACCGATTTGCTGTGCCGAACAGACTGCAAGACGACGTCCGTGCAGAAGTTTGTGGCGGCCACGAGCCCGTTGACTTGTGACGGCTCTAGGCTGTTGAGCCGCGTGGCCGGCGAGTGCCTGGAAAATTTTGGCCGGACGGCCGGGGCCGTTTTCGACGAACGGACGCAAAAGTTGTGCGACGCACTGGCCAAGGAACAGGTTGCCCTGTTGCTCCGGTACCGGACCACTGCGCAGCGGATGCTCACCCGCGCACAGATACTCCAGGATCACGTGCGCGAGCTGATGCCGACGTTTCAGTACGAGGAGTTCTTGAAAGGGCCCGACGAGCACGTGACCGAGGTGTTGCTGGCCAAGAAGACGGGAAACGGACTAGAACCGGATACAGCGCCTTCAACGAACGGGGACGGCGACGACGCCGCGATGCAACAGAAGAAATTGATGTGCGCGCTCCAGTGGTTGCGGTCCGAAGTGGAGAGAGCTGACTGTGAGAACATTACGCTCGTCGAACGGTATGACGCCGTCGTGGCGGCCATCGTTGTGGCCAGCAATAAAAAGATCGCCAACGAGTGCCGGGCTAAAGCTCGAAAGCTCGAAGTACAAACCGAACTGAGCGAGGTTCGAAAAAAGTCCGCAAAGCAAGAGGCGTTGATTGACTGCTACATTGGAAAAATGAGTTTGTAAGAGTGATTATAATTCAGTATAAACACTTACCGGAATGCCGGCTCCGATTTCAATATTACATACTATATTTCAAAATTCAGACTTGATGTGAGCCGAGCCGACATTCTGGTACGTGTTTATACTGATTTAATCACTCTTACAAACTCATTTTTCCAATGAGCAGTTAATCCTCGCTCAGTTCGGTTTGTACTTCGAGCTTTCGCCCGGCACTCGTTGGCGATCTTTTTATTTCTGGCGTCATACCGTTCGACGAGCGTAATGTTTTCACAGTCAGCTCTCTCCACTTCGGACCGCAACCACTGGAGCGCGCACATCAATTTCTTCTGTTGCATCGCGTCGTCGTCTCCATCCCCGTTCTTTGAAGGCGCTGTATCCGGTTCTAGTCCGTTTCCCGTCTTCTTGGTCAGCAACACCTTGGTCACGTGCTCGTCGGGCCGTGTCAAGAACTCCTCGTACTGAAACGTCGGCATCAGCTCGGGCACGTGATCCTGGAGTATCTGTGCGCGGGTGAACATGTGTTGAGGGGCATTTGTCCGGTACTCGAGCAATAACTGGGCAACCAGTTTTTATTTGGTGAATGAGTTGCAAAGCTTTTGCGTCCGTTCGTCGAACACAGTCCCATCACGTTCATCCCGTTACTTGTGCCAATATAAATTATATTATATAATAATAATATTATAACTATAAAAAATACATTTTTAACTAACAATTAATCTACACGTCATGATGTACATTCAATTAAACATATTAAAACGGAATGGAATGTCGGAATGATAGAGGAAAATCATAATAAGATAAACCTTAACATGTTAATAAAGATTAGCACATTTTCCCAGTATCACTTTATAATAAATATAGGTACACTTAATATAAAACTGAAGACTGAAAAAAAATTGTTTTCGCGGCAGGTATATTAACGAAAATACGTGTAGACGTTTTGTTGGGACCTACTGTATTGTCATACATTGAAGTAGTCTGTTTTGTTTTAGTGTTTTTTCTTGTTACTCCATTTCAATCCCTAAGACTGAAGGGTGTATAGTTGCGTTAAAAAGAGTATTTCGAACTATATACAATTTGCATACAAATATGTTAGTAGCATGTCAGAATGATTATTGATTCCCTTGTCAATCTCGTATAATTGAGAAAATTATAAAACAAACTTATATTACGAACTTACAATATACCTAACTGAAATTTTCAACGATTTTTATTATTAGATACTTTTGATGAATATAATGCCCGTCAAGATAAAATATTACAATTCGTTACAATAGTATATGAAAGTAACTGAATTTCATGTCGTAAACAATATCGTTGCAATAATATTATGACATACGTATGCCGTTTATATTGTGTTTTTTTTTTTTTTAATACCTAATATGTTTTTCATTTATATCAATACCATTGACACGAAATAAGCAAATATAATATTATGTGTGTGTGTAATGGTACGTACGGTCCGCACACAACTAAATGTATATAATGTCTATTGTTATTTGTTTGGTGTTTTGCCTTTTGCGGGGTTAAATGCATATGTTTCTTTTTCGGAACACTAAAATAATACACGAATCATACAGGCTGAATATTTGTATTCAACTTATTATTTATTAGTATACATATAGTACAATAATATAGACTCTATATAGCATAATAATATATAGTTTAGGTAGGTAGGTAGGTAGCTGGTACATATTATAATATTCGTTCACGTCCGCCCCAGCCGTCAAAACGATAATAATAATTGCAGTCTACCGGTTAGCGTGGAACGTATCATTTCGTCGTACTCGCGGGAGTCTATTATAATATATTTTTATATTATTATATTATGCACAGACGGCTCGTTTATGTACCTATACATAGGTACGCCCACGTTGGTTGGGATACCGCGAATACGCACTGAATCGTTTGTATATTATGTACAATATACTTGCCATAATGCTATCCGTCCGAGAGTAAGGATGCAAATTATGACCTTTGAATTGTGCAGTATGCTTATTAAAATATGTAACACAATGCAATCGTCCCCGGGAGGGTGGAGGGTTGTTTGTCGTGAGCCACTGGCGTCTACGGTTTTAGAAAATATGACCTGCGTAATAATATGTAGATGACAGCTGCTAGATACATATACATATATATATGACACAGAGTGTCGCAAGATATAATATAGTCTGGGCAGTTGCCGATTGTGTCCTCTTGCAGTTGTATGATTCGGATTTTCTCTGACAAAATATTTTAATCGAGTTCTCGACCACTTTTTATCGAGTGTCACGAGCGCTCACAGCCCTTACGAATAGGTAAGTAAAACGTACATACTCGACCTCCAACATGGACATTGACAATCCAATTTACAAATCAGTATAATATGCAATCATACATTAACGAGTAACAACTGATCGGTACATATCAAAATACTAGAAAACGTTACAAAATGTATCATCACTGACCTAAATATATAAATATTAAAAGTTTGGCTGGTCGAAAAATCACAACTCACAAGACCGCATTATTAAAATAAACATTAAAAAGTTCTTTCCTCTCTGCAGTAAATAAACGCATAGACAACCCGACCTACCTACTAAAGTTGTGCCATATATATAATATATATGCATGCATAGGATTTACGGCAAACCAAAGCATATATAAATTATGTACAAGACAAACGATTGTGTTTATCTAAAATATTCATTTTACGCTCATCGCTCACCATGTCATCTGCGAGTTGCGACTCAAAACCATAAGTAAACATTACTATACAGGGCTTCGAAGGTATTAAAGTTATTTACTTGTTTTTCAATCGAATGTCACGTTTCAAATTATTCCGTTCTATATAGTATAAGTCTTGTATATTTATATAGTCTCGTGCAACACTTGGTAATATTTTATTATACCTATCCGTTTTTACTGTGTACACAACTTCCAAATTAGCAAACCGTACGAGGGAATAACGAGTGAAGGATAACTGTAGTAATAGAAGCATTACTAAATCCTGGTTTCTATATATATTATTATACGCAAATACTAAATAAGTTCAAAATTATTTATTAGCTGTCTCAAGATAAATGAAATCAATAAAAAAATAATTATCAACCTAATCAAATTCAATATACCTATGCAATCGAAATTAAAATTAATATTTTAAAATGGTACATACATTTAAACCCCGCGTGATAAGTATCGAGTATGATTGGTATTTTAGTACTATAAATTAAATTACTTGAATAAATTCAAAGAATAAAAACATTTAAGTATCAACTTACATAATGTTATGTGATGTCATATCTAGGTGAACACCAAACAGTTGTCAATAATACCATTACAATTAGATATAGACGTATAGTAAATACCTTTTATATGTATGTTCAACATCAAATATCAGAACTAATTATTTATTCTAACTAATTTATTTATTGTAATGAGAGTCGAGTCAGACGGACAGTATTTATAGTTGTATTAAACTACCTAAATAGATTGAGGCGTATAATATATAGGTATTTGTGCAATTGTGCACACTGCACCAATTAGAAGTTTTTTTTCAATTTTAACTGTAGGTAGGTACTAAATCAGGCAGAGGTGTTGGTTTATTTGATTAATAGAATATTCAATTAAAATAGCCCCATAGAATTTCGTTTTAATTAATTATTGTCCGTATGGCCGTATACTGCACACTTTTCTCTATCTATATATAAAAATACAATTATAAATGTTAATTTTTGCTTTTTAGTTATAGAATCTACTAAATGTTTGTTTTAGTCTTTGATCTTTTAATTTGACATACTTTAAATGTATACTGCAGCTGTATTTCATCGGCAAGCAGTACTGACTTTTTTCACATCCGTGATTTTGTGGATATTATGTGTAAAAAAAGGTGCAAAAACTTTGAAGTCCGTGTTATTCCACGTAAGTAAAAAATAAAAATATAAAAGTGTCATCTATATGTAAAAATGTAATTATATAATATATAATATTACCCAATAGAGGTATTTCATTGATTTTGACGTTATGGTATGAATGCGTTGAATGGTCGGATATAAAATTTATGTGACACATAAAAAGGAGATTATTTGTAGGTACTAAATCTTGTTGGTCACTACTATCTCACCGAATATATTGGACATTCGTATACAAGCCTTTCGCCACAAGATCGGCCACCCAAACTTTAATATTATTTCGATTTATTGACGTAAAAAAAAAATATTATACTTTCATATTATGTTGGTGATAGGAGATTACTTTTCCAATACTGTATAGCACCGAAAGTAGTTTCTGTGACATTCAATGTTATGGTTCAAACATAGTAATATATTACATTAGTGTGTGAATAAGATTTTATTATTTACGTTATACCCGCTCACACGTGGGGTCTTGATGTAATTTATAATCGGCCCTTCAAAATTTACGTACAGAGGAAATAGGTATACCTATTATGTATATTATTATAAGTAGGTATAACCATTACTAATGCTGCTCATACTCGAATCAACCCTGTTCGCGTGACAAACATGCTGTGATTGATTTTACGAACGCAAAACTGATGATCAGGAAGAGGTATCATTAGGATTAGGTTTTCGTGAATATATTATTTCTGACAAAAGATTTGGTTTAGCGAGACGCGGTTCCTTCTCAATTTTCGGTAACAAAAAAACGAATCGTCACCGCAATGTTATTAAGATAGGTTAAAGGTACCTTAAATGATTTTCATATAATATAATGAAATGCGTTATTTCTTTTTTCACGAGAAAAAAAAGACCGTTGCAAGGAAGTACATAGGTACGGAGAACTTTTGTTAATTGGGATATCATGTACCTACCTACCTATAATTTGGTGAGTTTTTATAATATTTATATAATTTTCGAGCACACAACAGAACGGTGAATATCGGTATTCCATGTCCTATTGGACAGGAAAGAGTTGTATATTTACATTTTATATACGAGAAGGCCAATATTATAATTACATTGAATTTTTGAGTAGGACACGTCAAATTCAATTGAAAAAAAGGTGGGCAAGTGGGTGTCGCTCTGCTGTACAGTAGGTTACAAGTGGGTCACTGTATAATGGATGGTATTAAATTTGAATTCAATGATATAATATCATTGTATAAGAAAAACGATTCTGAGCGGTGATGGTATGTCAGTCTATGTATAAGGCATATTATATACATATCTATGGTATTAAACAAAAAATTGACCTATAATAGGTACCTATAATAAATTCCAAATTAATCATATCACAATATCCATTAGATACTTATAACGCGTTATACATCAACAAAAACCGTGATACTATCATAGATATATAATAGTACACTTTAGAAGTTTCAAGTACCCACGAATAGTATTATTCAATCACAACAAAATAACTAAAATCGTAATTCTTGGTTTAAATATGAAATTTTGTCTAAATTTGAAATTAAAATGTCTGTAAAAAATAAGTGTGTTTATATATTTTTTAGATTTTTTGGTTACAGTATGAATTATTTAAGAGAATCTTTGTTTTAAATTTTCAACTCTTAGTT